TAACTGCTAGTTTAAATGCGATAAATATAGTATATAATTTGCGGTTCTCGTGTGTGAAAATGTAAACCTTATGAACCTGATGATGTCACCACAGAGAGCGAAGGTACTTGGCGGAAACGAACTTCGCAACAATTCCCGACATCCATAAGATCACATACGTACGTACATAAATAAGTATACATTCATTGAGCCTATACGTATCTTATCACCCTTCATTGCATAATCCAATGTTCTCTGCATTCGATTCATAATTATTCCGTACATCATCCCACTGGAGCATTCACACTCATACACATACTCACACATAGACACATTCACAATAACATATATGTATATCGATTATACAAAGTCGTAGATCATTTCATTTCTACCTAACAAACCATTGTGATTTAACACATTCCCAAACGCAACATTTTTAAGTCACGTCAATATTTCTATTTTATACTAAAATGTATTTATTCGTTCGAGGATAGTTCCATACGTTTCCGCAGGTGAAATAGTTCATAGTTTGAACAATTTCACAAAAAATGAGTATTGGATTGCGAATTTTCTGTATGAATGTTCCAATTATCTTCCTTTTTGTGGCGAATACGGGGAACGTAGGGAACGGAAAAAGAGAAAACTACGAGAAATATTCAGCATAATTATTTGGGAGTGTCTGATATTGATAGGTACTATACATTAAATATCTGAAGCAAACGCGACCAGCAGAATGAAATTACATATCAAACCCGAAGAGTTTCATAGAATTTTATGACAAACATGATCAAATGAATGGGATTTCCTGAAGAACTCTATGAGATGAATGAAATATCTAGAAACCGACCGGTCTGATCGGTTGCTTGCGCGGTTTCCTCTGCAAAGTTCCAAGCAGCTATTCGAGTAGTTCTCTCAATGTCGGGCCTCAAACTACGCGCAATCTTTCCTTCGCAGTGGAGTTCCCATTCTCAATCTTAGGACCAAATGATGAGCCGATTCCCCTGCCTCCTTTGACCCATCGCTCATTGGTCGACAAAAATCTCTGCAGTGTTTTGGAGATTCCGGATGCTACGACAAGCGGTGAGTCCTCGAGACACTAGAGGACGGCAAAGAATACATTTTACAAATTCTATGGCGTATAAGTGCTTCAAAAATATATTTTTGTCGTGAAACATGTAGTGAAAAATTAAATTTACTTACATAGGTTCGTTTTATACAGCCACTAATTGCCACTAATGCCACTAATTGATTGCCTGGCACTTGTGTTTGGGAGGTACAAAGCCATTTATGGGGACGATAGTAGATTCTGTATACCTGCCTATTGTCAGTGCAGAAATAGTTGTCCACCAGTCAGAGACATCATTGACAAAAACAACTATATTTGCCTATCTATTCGCAAGAAGTTTGTGACATTTATTCAGAACCATCCTACAAACTACTTGCCTCGTGACTGGGAAATCGAAGCATTAATAAATAATTTGATAGTATCCCTTAAACCTCTCACTAAATGTTCTTTGGCAAAACGCGATCAACTTCGCCTTGTCTAAATACCCTAGAGGTTTGTAACATTCATTCTGAACCATCCTGCAGACTATGTGCCTCATGACTGGTAAATCGAAGTAATGGGGAAATTCTATATACCTCTTGAATAACAACCGCAGCGGGGGAGGATGCTGGTACGCGAACAGAACGAATCGTTCGGAGCCCCCCTGGACGCGGGCTCGGGGCGTTGCAGCTGGGGGAGCAGATTGCGTCTCCGCAATTAGAGCGCCTGGGGCTGCCCGCTGCCCGAGCGCAACCGCGCTCCTGGGCGCCGTGTCTTCTCATAGTGCAGCGCCCGCGCGCCCGCAGCCCCCTGAAACTTTTAAGAGCAATCCATTTGGGGGGCCGCGCCGCGGGCGGTGCCGCCCGCTGTGCCCGCCTCGGCCGCTGCCGCCCCCGGAACCCGGGGCTGCCGTTCTATCGATACGGGCGCCATCGATCCTCACCCGGCAGGACAGATCGTCGAACGGAAAAGATCCCAAATTTAGGTGTCGAAACGTGTTAAATAAGTGTGGTACGATTTTTACTTGTCTAATAAACGAGACTACCTAGACGACTACGTAAAAAGAGGAGTGGTTGCTTGAGTGCACTGAGAGGTGTCTTGTCTACACAAAGAAAAGGTTACGCCGCACCGTGAACTACCCGGTGGGAGGGGAGAAGGGAATTGCAATGGTTAAGGGAGGAAGTGGAGTTTGACTGAAGTCCCTGAAATTCTGATGATTTACGTTGTACACACTATTTATTCATTGAATATTAACACAAAGATTACAAATTAAATTGCAGAGTGCTGAATGAATTGTGGAGAGTATTGAGGTAGTTGTTACAAATGTCTTATTAATGAACTGAGCCAACTTCGGCATGTACAGGGTGTTATACATCACGCATCTTGTATTCTGTTGAATTGTCACCGTCCAGTTCCTTACCAGTACTTTCACAGACCACAGCACGAAGGTGAACGTGTGAAGTGAACGTGTTCCCTTACAGGGGCCGGTGATGGGAGGCAGTGCGACGTCTCCGTTGCACTGCCGGGTCAATGTTGAAAAGCGCGCCCTCACAGGCTCCGACGATGGCAGGGCGCGGATGTAGCGCCGCAATGGGGCACAAAAAGTGTCACGTGCGCACGGAGGACAGCGGGTCACGTGGCTCGCTTTGGTCGGCCGGAACGAATACAGCACACCACGTGCTGATGTAGAAACGTATCACTGTATAAATGCTCCGTATAAATGCACCGTATAAATGCACCGTATAAATGCACCGTATAAATGCACCGTATAAATGCACCGTATAAATGCACTGCATAAACGCACTGCATAAACGCACTGCATAAACGCACTGCATAAACGCACTGCATAAACGCACTGCATAAATGCACTGCATAAATGCACTGCATAAATGCACTGCATAAATGCACTGCATAAATGCACTGCATACTGCCGTTCGAGGAGAAGCAGTACCTCATCGAGGTTAATAGTAAGAATAATGGAAGTGTGTCTGCGTCGGATTAAGCAGGCTTGCCGAAGACAGTATTGTGACTCGAGGAGAAACAAGAAGTATACAGAATGAACGTCTGCAGCCCTATCGAAAGCAGTGGTTTCTCGTACGGAACTATCAAAAGGAAGTAATAAGGAGAAGGAGATAGGCCAGGGCAGTAGCTAAAATGCACATGTCGGAGATTGTGCGGTCGAGGATGCTTCGGGGACGTGGAAGGAAGTGCCTTTTTGGGAGAGTTGAAGGCTACACGGCCTTTTGGGAAACGCGGTGGCTTGCTGGCGGTGGGGGTGGCTAGTGGTAAGAAGGGCCAGGAGTGGGGGTGACCGGCGTGGTCAGCTTCTGAAGGCGGAAGTGAGGACACACCGTCGAGGCCTTTGTGGTGGGTACGGAACAGACGGGTTGCGTTCTACGTAGGCGACAGGAAGTGCGCGACTGTCACAGCCCCACAGTCTGGCGACACCCACCGCGCCGCGCAGGAAAGCGATCAGTCTCGTTAGCCGCTTCTGCAATTCCGCTATCTAAAGGATCTTGTATGTTAATAGGTGAATAGAAGGACCTTTGAAGTGTGAGACGGTGTTCGAACAGTGGAAGAGGCATTGATGACTGCATTACGATATTTATGGACAGTGGAAAATGCAGAATAATGTATGGAGAGAAATCAAAATCTGGAGAAAAATATTGAGAAATTACTTATGAAAAATGTACGAAGCAAACAATTTAAAATAATTGATTTTTTAAGGACAATCAGATATTGAAATTTTTAACTCTTGCTGTAAAAGTATTTCGCTGTATCTGTATATTAATAAAATCAATCTTTGTGGAGAAATTCTATTTAATTTTGTCATCATCGGATATAGTGAACCTATGGTATAGTAAATCGAATATGGTAGTCTCTAGTAGTTCTGTACAACCGGAGTCAACTGTAGTTGTTATTCATCGGTTTGATTGTTTGATGTCGATACAGCAGAATAGTTTAACGGAAGCTCTTGCAATACATCAAAGAGAAAGCAAATTTTGATAGTAATTTATTTCTTGGTAATTAGTGATAAACATTATTTCACAGATCAATAATATTTATGCTGTTTGAAACGAGATCATGCATTTTTCATGATATATTTCTATATTTGTTTTGTTTCATGATGACAATTTCTGTAGAGTGAATGTCGCTTTACATTAACGCAGATTTCATTTTAGGCGAACTCCGTGTTTTCGTAAATTGAAAAAAGTTAACATTGCAGTACAGTCTTGATGGTAGCGATTTTTAACTTAAAAATATTCTCAGAAAAGTTAGATCTTTAAATATGGTCGTGTAAAATATATTCGCGAAACATTTGCGCAATATTTACTTCAAATACAGACAATTTTCTTGATTTTTCTTAAAAATAAGTTGTTTTTTTTTCTCGGATTCAGCAAATGACTCTTTTTTTTGTCGGACTCGGCATTTTTGTCGGAATTTGTTTTTTCGAAAATCGCAAATCTGAAAATAATGCGGGAACTACGTGCATTTATTTGAAGAGCCGAGAATTGAATTATTTTTTGTTTAAATAAACGCACCTGTGTATAATTAGTTTCCACATGTGCGTTTGTGTTTCCACATGTCCACTTATTGATTTCTCAAAATCTTCAAAACCATCAAAAAAAATTCAACTTATTACGAATACTGCCGTCGGCAAGAAATACACAAACAATGAAGAAAGTTATAATTGTGATGCTAAGTATTACTTAATCACAAGTGAAATACGAGAACAGACTATTCCAGCAGTGTATAGTCCTCCAACGCGGGTTTCGTATTTCGTTTAAATTCTCTGCTGGTGAGTCAGTCTCCATATAAGGTTGTGAAATAGTATCCCGTAAGTTGGCGCGAATGACACTGATGCAGGACGTGATTGGCTGCATGTCAGGGTATGAGCTCATCAGTATCCAATTGGCGAATGAGCCAATGACGTGAGTCGCAACTTCAAGTCTTCTCAGTAAAATCTCCTTTTAAGGTCTTGTAATGAATTGGACGACGGGATTGGAAGGCTGCAAGGCCAGACGTCATGTGACGTGGCGTTGTTCTGTGGGAAAGTTGAAGCAGATGGCAGGAGCCCGGACACCGCCAAAGACACACAAAATTCGTACGTACTTCTCTTTTGCTTCGGATGTTAAGCTGCTTCTTCACAATTTGTAATGTGTATTAGGATATTATTAACAATAACATTTATTAAAATTTTTGTGTATATTACGATCTGAATTTATATAACATATATAATAGCTTGGCAGAATTTCAAATTTTGTAATGACATACTCTAATGTAAGAAGTCACAGGATTATTTTTTGTGTTGAGGTATCTGTATACTTCAGAAAGATGAAAATCGCCAACTTTCGTGTTATTCAACTTTTATTGAGTCGTATCTCTGTTCTATTCTGTTATAAATGCTTCAAGTCATTTCTTGCTAAGTTTCTTAGTTTTTTAACAAATATATTTTTTCGAAGGAGTGTCAACTGTCAAGCCGTTAATGACTGAACTTCAGATGCATTTTATCGAATTGGGAATTTTCAGCACATTCATGCATGTCAAACATAATAAATCATACACGATTCAAGATTATATAATTAGTTTTGAGCGTGTAACCTATGATTTACTCTAGTGAATGAACGAGTATAGGTAATGTGTCACTAAACGTTTCAGTTATGAGCTGAAATATGAGCTGTACAGAACAAGTTTATTAACAATAATTTTTTCTCGAATAATAAAATCTTGACTTTAATTTTTACATTACCTTTACCATTATAGTTCATTCGCTAGAATATACACTTTGATTCAATATGATCACTTTAAATAATTATTTAATTAATAAAATTGATCAAAATATATCAATTTGTTGAAGAGTTATGATGAATGATGTAAAAATCTACATTTGAGCCTATTATGTATAAACAAATAGAGAAAAACTATTTATCTTAATTATTTCATCTCTAAAAGTACAAAAAAATCAAATGTAGAAGAGAAAATATAAAGAAAGTTCTTAATTTTTATTTTTCAGGTAGACAGCTACCTTCAATCTGAATGTTCTAATAAAGTTTAATTTTGTATAATTTCTATTACGATTTACGTAAATATTTTAATACTTTGTTATTAACAATTTCAACACCATGTAGATCTCATTGTTGTTGGTTTATATGTTGAAATATTTTTATCATAATGACGTCATGTGTATTGCGTGCTATTCTGTTCGTTTCTTTTTCAGAAGAGTAGACAAATATTGGAGACGTTTTGTAGTGTTTCTTGCAAAATGTATTTGTCTCTTATATTGATGTCCAACGTACTGTTGCTTGCTGTACCAGAAAACTTCGGGTTACCCTTGGATCATCCCAATGGAAACCAAACTAATGACATACTACCCACGGTATGCTTGATCAAGGGATGTAGACGTTTTTAATTTCTCGCTTACTTCTTTTATATTGTGGAGAAAGCATTTTACGAATCCGTTACTAATGTAAAAAAGTGCGATCTGTTGCAACACGGACTGTTTTACTATTACACACAATAATATTGAATATTAAGAGTTGATTATTGTTTGTGTGAATAATACACCCCGTGCACTCTGTTCTGCTTACTTGTCATTGCCAAACTCTACTAATTACTGTAAGATCTTTGTCAAACCGTGAATTTTCACAATACAAAACGATTTGGTGCTCCCTAATCTTTTGACTACATGAAATGTCCTTAAAATAAAATTAATACTGAAAGTTGAAAAATGTTTCAAGCCAACAGAAATATTTTTGTGTTAATAAATAAGTTGAAAAAGTTTAAATGGGAAGAAATAGTTCTATGAATTTCTTTAACGCCATATTTACTTCAGTCCACAACAGCCTTTTCTTTATTTACTTATGGATAAATTGAAAACTAATTTTTCACATTTACTTTTTCAGTTGCTGTCTACGATTCTTCATCATGTTTTCCAATTGAACACCTTTTTAAAACAATATGAGGGACAACGTGATGAGGCTGCAATTCAACAGTCTTCTGAACTTGGGGGCCCACATTTTCAAACAAATACTGCTTCAGCTGGCAGCTTCCAAATGAATGACAATCCTGATCCATTGCCAACTGGTAATGAAACATGGAACCTGTGCAAAATAATATGCTCTCTTTACGAAATTGTGAATTCTAGAACAACAGATAAGCTTACATATTTACATGATTTGTGCTATCCAGATATTCAGGTTAAATGTTTTTTTATAAATTCAGAAAAACTTTGTACATATCTCCAAGATCTATTGAAAGCGCTTGATAAAGAAGAAAAAAAGTCAATAGCCTCTGAAGTGATTGTGTTTCTTGTGTACTTAGGATTAACTCTTACAGTTTTTGTTCTCACAGGAATATGGATCGTTCATATTCTTGTTAGCAAGGAAAAGAAAAAATAATGTTGATAAATAATTATTAAGGAAAGGAACGTCGTGTAGGATCTGTAATGTTTACAATACTGCGAGGTATACTTTGTCTCTTGAAAAAAGTTTGTATATTGAAGTATGTCAGCATATGTTTCAGAACTTTGAATAAAAAAAATTGGAATTTAAATCATGTTCAAAATCAAGTGAGTCATTTTATTGTACTTACCGGACCAGAAAATTACTTACCGGAATTAATAATGTATTAGAGAGTGCCTAATCTGAACTAAGAAAAAAATTGATTACTAAAACTTGTTTTGATTAATCTTATTGATGTTGTTAGCAAATTGAACATATTAGAGAAAAATAGCTAATGAGGTCTCGTTTTGTGAAGAAAACATGTCTGCTCTTGTTATGATTATTACGATTTTATAACATTTAACAATAGTAATCAATATATTGTACTTCTAGAGATGTTTCAGCAGATTTTCATTTTCCTTTTCTTTGCGTATTTTAGCTTTTGATACCCATTTTTGGCGTTTTGGCTTATTTGTGCCGTTTTCGAAATTATTTTCCCTTAATTACCTCCAGACACCAATCTCTATCAGGCTGAAAATATACCTGCAAGCCTACACAAATGAAGACACGGGAGTGTATTGTATTTCTGTGGACGCGGATGCTCAAATTTCAGATTGTGTTAAAAATCTAGGAAGGGAAAGGAAAATGATACCGGTAAAAAATTTGATATTTTTCATTAATGATTGCGGAGTTGTTCGCTAACAAGAAATCTCATTCTTTAATTGTGTATTGCGTCGGATATATTTTAAGGAGAGAGATGCTGTACATGATAAACCCTTCTCAGTTCCTTCTTGATTACTCTTTCCTTATGGAGATTACGAAAGTGCGAAGAACGAAATTTATAATTCCGTTTTCATTGATACCATTTCCAGATTCAAAAGAGAGTCCGCAATAGCATTTTGTAGAGAAAGCGTCGCGAGTAAAATAAATTCATAGTCGTCATATCGGATCATGTGCAATCAAGATTAAAAAGAAGAGGTAGTTTCCTTCCACGGGAGTGCTAACGTAAATTTGAGAGTTAGAATTGTGAATCATTTTAATTATTATTTTTTTCAATAATCACTTTTAATTTTTCATTTGTTTTCTTTGTTTTTATCCCCTACTTAACTATAACTAAAGTCTAAAGGAATATGCAAAGACTTTCTCCTTGCGCTTTAAACAATTGAGGAATTCAAAGCGTTGTCAGATCGCCAACATGGATTTAAAATGTATGTATCTACCAAAACTGCACCATTTTCTTTATTAAAGATTTTGCCTCCCCAATGACGGATACAAAATTGAAGCACCTATTGGATAACGTTTAAATCTTTCAAAAACATTTGACGTCACTGATCGTAACATTTGTTTCCGAACATTTTTTCGCATGTAATTTGACATTTGCCGAGATTAGATCTCGTCGTTCCTTATACAATGGTTTTAGAGAAATACCGTGTGGGTAGAATGAAAGGCAATGAAATCCGGGTTATGGCGAGTTGAGCCTGGGATTTGGTAGAGTTAGATTTTGAAGGCCTGCTCTCTTCCTTCTCTTCTCAAACGATGTGTTCTCGTCGCTTTCAAAGAGAACAATAGTTGTCATCGCTTAGTTTATGAAATTTAGTTACAAAAAATAAACTGGTGCTGCTAAAAAATAGCACATACTAGCTTAGATTCCTAATCTCTGAGCTGGTTTTTCAGTCTCGCCTTCTGCTATTTACGGTCGCTCAAAAGATACTGTCTCAATTTTTCGACTATCTATGATTAGAACTGAGATATACCTTTAAGAATATTATAGAAGAATAAAACATCGTGGATGGGTGGAGGTCCTGAATCTTCATCCCTCCTCACAAGCCAATGATGCATATTCTAAAATATAGGTTTTAATAATTTTCTATTCTAATAAATCTTTTAATATCGTTAATGTTCTAAATATTACTTCCAATTTAACAAATAAAAATATTATTCATGCAGCATGAAGAGTCCTTTATAAGTAAACATCAAGTTGGGTGGACACTATTCATGTTGAGCTCTGCCCTGCAGGTTCTTCCACTGTACCTAAAAAGTCTCGTTAATCTGTGTTATGCTCTTCTCTCTTTTCTTATTCAGTCTCTATAAATTTTGTTAAAAAGTTTATGTTCTTAGGAATTAAAATATTTAGCATTGAAATAACTTGGAGATGAAATAGAAATGTGGCCTGCATATTTCTTAACTTTAGACACAGTTTGGAAGAGGTCGATCCAAGCTTGCAAAACCAAACTAAATAAAATAAAATTTGTTTTTCAGTGGAATCAATGTTGCTAGCATCATACTCTTTCCATCAAATAGCTGATTTAAAGATTTTACAAGTAGGGATGACGAGAAGTAATTGCTTAAATGCGGTATCACAAAAAAGCACATCAATCACTTGATTTAAAATTCTTTATAATTTTAAAATAGGAATTGATAGACAATAATTGCAAGGTATTCAAATGAAGATCATAATTCAATTAAACATCAAAACTAATTTTAATCTGAATTATGAAACTATGAATTACAGAAACTATACTATCGCAATTTCTAACTATACTATCGCAATTTCTAACCATACTATCGCAATTTCTAACTATACTATCGCAATTTTAACACAACCGACAGCCATGAAAGAAAACATATTCAATTCTTAAGCAGGTATAATACATGAATGGACGATAAATAAATAGAATTAGAACAATTGCAAGTAGCTTATACAATAAATTAGTTACAAGTTAATAACTAATTTGAAAACATCAAGAACAGCAAATATATATACATTTATTTGAATCAAAGGAAACCTGAGAATAAACTTAGTTGGAACCAATTATTCCTTGACTTGAGTTATAATCTTTAACTATTTGGTCACAAATACCGAAGAACAGATACACAAATACCGAGAATTCGATATCTTTTCATTATTTTGATTAAATAAGCTTAGAATATTTGTCTTAGGTCCTGAACTAAAATTACTTTGCAGTTAGAAGAATTAGTGAAAGCTTGAATAACAAAACATTCGTTAAAAAATGTAAAACTCGTGAAACCAATCATTAACGCTCAATACCACTGACTTTACATTGTCTACACAATTTAAAATAGTTATGAAGTCATATTTGAATAGTAATTAAAAGTAAAAAGGTTTTTACATTTTTGAAATTTATACAATGATCTATAAAATTTTATGTAATTCCTGGAACTATAAATAAACATAGCTCTTAATTATATTAAGAACCATGGGTAAATTGCAAGTAGGTCTCGGTCTCTGTGCACGGTTTCGTAATTGTGACGTTCGCTATGCGTGTCCAAGTTGAAGACAAAGCTCAGACGTACGGCCCTCGCGTTAACATGAAACATCCTTGCGTCTGTCCAACGCATAATTACCAATCATTTTATGCGAATACTCATCTTAAAAATAATTTGGCGGGTAGAGACACCGCCAAATTCCGATCAACCGAACCATGATATCAAAGGCCCAAATTGAAGTACAGAGTAAGTAAATTTACAAAATAAAATGCAACAAATACCAACATGGAGGCGATGTTTACATCGCCACGACTATCACCATAGTGAACAACTTCCAACTTCAGTATCATAAAATTCACGGCGGAGATGTTAACGCCACCATGAAACTACTTCAGAGTGGAAAAACGTAATTCTAAAACATGATGGAGCTCCTCAATCCACCTTTCCGCGGAAATGCTACCTCCTCCATGAGCTGCACAAACGTGAACGAAAACTGAGTCTGATCAACGCAATCTTGATTACAAGGTCTGAGCAGTCATTCAAGATGGTCGCCAAAGAAGGCCATGCAAACTGAAATTGTGGGAACCAGTCGAAAATATAAAATAAATTACACTATCAAATAAGAAGAAAAGAGTTCTACTTTCCTCAACTGAAAGAGTGAACACAAATTTACATAAGTTGTTTTTCACGTGAAAAAAGCACACACTTTCTATTAATACTGTTATCACAAACAACGCACGGTACATGAAATCCTACTTGTTCTAATCCCAACTTATTTTGCAAGTCCTGGGCACACATTTCATTTATAGGTACTGAAGTACTGTATACTATTTCTATCCGATCTGGGTTACTATTTCTATCCGATAATGGTTGATGTCATGTAATTTATGTGGTGTTGGTCTGATCCAAGAAAACATTTGCTGACAACTTTCCCGGTAATACAGGGTTCACATACTGGATTTGAGAAATAAATATAATATAAAAATAAATAAATGAAAAATGCTATTCCTTCAAGATTACAATTAAATATAGACAACATTAATAACAATGTTTGATTATTTTTTATAATAAATCTTGATTGAAATCATGAATTTCAATACGAAGCCAACCATTTGTTTGGAAGTAGACTTAAGCAGCCTTCATTAGTAAACCATTTGAATATGCACAATAATGAAATACAATCATAATTAGAATAATACAATGTTAATATACAAATAAAATTAATACACTAGCAGCATCATATTAGAACTATCTCTTTAAACACAATCCAATTATCACAAGATTACGCAGGCGTCAGTTAATACAATTCCTATTACGGAAACCATGTGTGCTGCTAAATGGGCAAATGAAACAACTTATCATGTAAAGCATTTAATATGTGTAACTTAACTGAAATTATTGCAAGGAATTACGAAAATGGAATACGAGTAGGTAATACTACATGAAATTTGTCGAAAAATGTATAACTCCTTCCGATTGGTCTATTAATTTTTTGACTTGTTCATTGTAATGTAAAAGAAGATAGAAGCACTTTAGTACAAATGTTTGACATTGTTTTTATTTATATCCAACATTTGTAAAATTTCTGAGAATTTTGGACAAACTTCTGAAAGAATGGAAATCTCATCTGAAAATACATTCTAATATAAGAAAAAATATTTCCCTTAATAGTAAATAGTTCAACGAAAATGCTTTTTTCATTGAGACTTATATCACTTGCACTTGATACTGTTTTTACACCTGAATTCAAACAATTTTTTTAAAATTCAAACTAATGTTTTTACGCCAGAATTACTCATTTTTAAAATAGTACATATTTTCACTAAGAGTAAGAATACACACTTTTAGATCGAAATATTATTATTTGATTATTTGTTGATGTAACAATATTGCTCATCAT